TTTTTTTGCTGACATCTAGCTTGAGGAAGGGGATTTATTGCAATGACAATACACCCACCTGCGATCCTCAGATAATGAGAATTGTCCATCAGCCAACCATTCCAGGAAAATTGGCCCCTTGCATTATCACATCAAAATCCCAGAATCGGTTTCCCCCAGTCAGTAGTTAATTCCTCTTTAAATTTCTGACTTAGGGATGCTAAGGAATTTTTGTAAGTTACCTCATCACTGAGAGTGAGTGGGCAGCTATATAAATTGGTCATGAATGGATGGGTGAATGAATGAATAACACATAATCAAAGTTGGAAGGGACCTTGGAGGTCATCTAGTCCAACCCCTCGCCCAAGCGGGAGACCCTACACCATTTCTGACAGAGGACAGTCCAGTCTCTTCTTGAAAGCCTCCAGGGATGAAGCTCCCACAACGTCTGAAGGCAACTTCTGTTCCACCGTTTGATTGTTCTGTCAGAAAATTTCTCCTTATTTCTAGGTTGAATCTCTCCTTGATCAGTTTCCATCCATTATTCCTTGTCTGGCCTACAGGCCCTTTAGAAAATAGCTTGACCCCTTCCTCCTCTCTGTGGCAGCCCCTCAAATATTGGAAGAACGCTATCCTGTCTCCCCTGGTCCTTCACTTCACTAGACTAGACATACACAGTTCCTGCAATTGTTCATTGTATGTTTGAGCCTCCAGTCCCCTAAAATCATCCTGGGTGCTCTTCTCTGCACTTTTTCCAGAGTCTCAACATCTTTTTTATAGTATGGTGACCATAACTGGATGCAGTACTCTAGATGTGGCCTTACTAAGGCTTTATAGAGTGGTATTAGTACCTCCTTTGATCTCAATTGTACCCCTCTGTTAATGCAACTTAGGATTGCATTGGCTTTTTTGGCTGCTGCTGCACATGGCTGGCTCATATTTAGCTGGTTGTCCACTGAGACTCCAAGAATGAATGAATGAATGAATGAATGAACGAACTAGGGGTCTTAAAACTTGACACTTGAAGACTTGTGGACTTCAACTCCCAGAATTCCTCCTCCAGTCATGTTAGCTCAGGAATGCTGGGAGTTGAAGTCCACAAGTCTTAAACTTGCCAAGTTTGAAGAGCCTTGGAGGAAATGAATGAATGAATGATGCTCTGGATTTTTTTATTTCTCCAGTGCGCAGAGAAACACAGCTTTAGGGGGTTTCCACAAAGATGGGCAAAAATGCCACAATAGTGTTTGCAACCACACATTTTTTAAAAAAGGCACTGGATTCAGTTGTGTTGGCCACTTTAAGACTTGTGGACTTCAACTCCCAGAATCCTCCCCAGCCAGCATCGCTTGCTCTCTTGTCATCCCTTCCTCTGCAATCTCTCTCCACTCTAGGAGGTTAAGAGAACAAAGAAACAGACACAGCTGGCTGGGGGATTCTGGGAGTTGAAGTCCACAAGGCTTAAAGTGGCCAAGTTTGGGGAACCCTGGGTTCTGGCCACCAACTTGATTTCCAGAGGGAAAGAGAAACCAAGGCCAGACAAACCATCATTCCTGGGTCTGGTTTTTCTGAACAGTTAACCCAAAGACCTTTAACCCATTCACCTCTTCATTTCCCCGGCTGTAGGATCCGACGCCATCATCCGGCAACACAAGGCGGCTTGTTTGCGCATCACTTCCCTATTGGCTTGTAAAGATCTCCTCTGGATCGGCACCAGCGCAGGAGTCGTGCTGACCCTCCCCCTCACAGGCAACCCAGCTGCTTTGAAGACCCCACCATTCCCGGTGGGACTTTCCCAGGGCCACACCGGCCACGTCCGATTCCTGACGTCCATCGAGCTGCCCGAAGGATTTAGCGTCCTTTTTCCCCTGCCAGGAGAACCAGGTGAGCTGGCCAGAATTTTGAATAAAATAGAAGAGAAGAGATATTGGAATAGAAGAGAAGAGAAGAATATAGAATATAGAATATAGAAAATAGAATAGAGAAGAGAATAGAGAATAGAATAGAATAGAATAGAATAGCATAGAATAGATAATAGAATAGGAGACTAGAATAGAGAATAGAATAGAGAAGAGAAGAGAATAGATAATAGAATAGAACAGATAATAGAATAGAGTAGAATAGAATAGATAATAGAATGGAATAGATAATAGAATAGAATAGAATAGAATAGGAGACTAGAATAGAGACTAGAATAGAGACTAGAATAGAAAAGAGAAGAGAGAAGAGAGAATAGAATAGAATAGATAATAGAATAGAGTAGTAGAATAGAATAGGAGACTAGAATAGAGAAGAGAATATAGAATAGAATAGAATAGAATAGAATAGAATAGAATAATATAGGAATAGGATTTAAATAGAATGGGATGGGATAGTGAATAGAATAGAATAGAATAGAATAGAATAGAGAATATAATAGAAAATAGAATAGAATAGAATAGAATAGAATAGAATAGGATAGAATAGAGAATAGAATAGAATAGAATAGAATAATATAGGAATAGGATTTAAATAGAATGGGATGGGATAGTGAATAGAATAGAATAGAATAGAGAATATAATAGAAAATAGAATAGAATAGAATAGAATAGGATAGAATAGAAAATAGAATAGAATAGAATAGAATAGAATAGAATAGAATAATATAGGAATAGGATTTAAATAGAATGGGATGGGATAGTGAATAGAATAGAATAGAATAGAGAATATAATAGAAAATAGAATAGAATAGAATAGAATAGGATAGGATAGGATAGAATAGGATAGAATAGAAAATAGAATAGAATAGAATATAGAATCAGCTGTGCCAGGATCTCCCTCGCTGTCTTCCTGCTTTGCTGAGCCAGGAAGCCAAAAAAAAAATAAAAATAGAGCCACAAGGGGGTGGGGGTGAAGGTGCTGCAAAAAAAAAAAGCAGAAGCTACACCCACTCAGTCACCTGGCCACACCCATTCTAGCCGCACCCACAGAACCGGTAGTAAAAAATATGTGCATCCCAACCCCCGTACCTGTCACCTCACTAAAATAATTCCTGACAGTCCTCCCTATAAGCCCATTTGGTTTTCCTTTCGACAGATTCGTGTTAGCTTGGGGGCAGACTTGCCACCTTAACCAGCTCCCTCTCTCGCCCACCTGCCCGTACAGGTACAGACAAATCCAGTGAGTCGGACAAACGGGATTCGACCAGGCACCGGTCATCCAAATCCAAAATGCTCGTGGTCAGCGGTGGCGACGGCTACGAGGACTTCAGACTCACCAACAGCAGCGAGACGGTGGGCCGGGACGACAGCACAAATCACCTCCTTCTCTGGAGGGTCTGATGTGGGTCAGAGTGGGCCCTTCCCCTCCCACCCCCGGTCGGGGTGGGCCGGGGCGGAGAGCGAGAAAGAGAGTTCCAAACTCCCGTCCTTGCCGTTCACACCTGAACGGGGTACTCCTTTACCTGTGCGTCACCCTCCCTCTCGACCGTCTTGTACGCGCGATTGCCACCCGCAGGGAGCTGTGCCTTGAGGAGAACGGCTGCCGATCCCCCGCCGACTGACCCCTCCCCCTCCTTAGAACGCGCGTCCATATTGCACGCCTCGCACTTAACCGCTGTCTCTTAAGTGTGTACAGGAGGCTAGAGGAGGGCTCAAGAGGGGCCACACCTACGCAGAGGGCCTCCCCCCCCCCGTGGAAAAGGCCCCGAGAGGCCAAGATGGACCCCGTTTACAAAGGGAAAAAATCGGTTTGGCGGAAGCGATTTGGCGAGATTGTCCCCAGCTCGACCCACCGAGGGATTGGATATCTCGTGCCGGCGAAGCGATCTCAGGAGATTTAGACAACCTCCAGAATATCCGTTCTCCCTCCAGAGTTCGATTGGCCCACATGGCTTGTCAAAAAGGAGGTTCAACCTCCCCCTTCCAAATTTACCCTTCCCCTCCCGACACTTCGCACGCCCAGGATCTTCCGATCACTCCATTTTAAACGCGACCCGGGGAGTCCTTTTCCTCACCGCCAGCGTCCTGATAACTCAAGGGTCGCCCTTTCGTTTGCACGGGGGTGCGAGTGCGTCTAATTATTATTATTTTTTTCCTCAAGTGTATGTATAAATAATCTTTATTTATTGTTGATCAGAGACAAAGAGAAGCGGTTTAGGGGCCTCAGGATGGAAACTGCATTGGGAGCTTAACGGCCATTTTCCTCGTCTCGTCCAGAGATGGTCCGAATCATGATGACGAAAAATGTCCTCGCTGTACGGCACAGGTCCCCGAAACTTGGCCACTTTAAGACTTGTGGACTTCAACTCCCAGAATTCCTCAGCCAGCCATGAATGATAGAGTTGGAAGAGACCAGAAGGGTCACCTAAGTCAGGGGTCCCCAAAACTTGGCCGCTTTAAGCCTTGTGGACTTCAACTCCCAGAATTCCCCAGACAGCCGTGTCTGTTTCTTTGTTTCTCTTAATCTCCTAAAGTGGAGAGAGATTGCAGAGGAAGGGATTACAAGAGAGTAAACTATGCTGGCGGGGGAGAATTCTGGGAGTTGAAGTCCACCAAGTCTTAAATTAGCCAAGTTTGGAGTCCTCTGCTCTACGGCAACAGTGTGTACAGTGAGGTGTGTACAGGAGGTTACGGCCTGTTGTAATGGAGTCATTCCAGAGTAGCTCTGTGTGTGTGTGTGTGTGTGTGTGATTGTTTATAAAGGGCTGGTTGGGACAAAGAAATTGTGAGGAGGAGAAGGTTAACCAGGGTTTGGACCAGTTTTTCTCAACCTGGGCGATTTTTAAAACGGGTGGACTTCAACTCCCAGAATTCCCTGGCTACCTGGGGAATTCTGGGAGCGGAGGTCAGAATAACAGAGTTGGAAGGGTCCCTGGAGGTCTTCTAGTCCAACCCCCCGCTCCCTGCTTCAGGCAGGAAACCCTATACGGAGAGTCCTCGACTTGCCACAGTTCATTTAGTGATGGTTCAGAGTTACAACAGCACTGGGAAAAAAAGTGACTTACGACCATTTTTCACCGTCACGACCTTTGCCGCCTCCCTATAATCCTGTGGTCAGAATTCCTAGTTATGACGGTCGCTGTGATCCCCTTTTGTGACCTTCTGACGAGAGTCACCGGGGAAGCCAAATCCCCTTAACCAAACAGCTGAGGGGCCAAAAAAAAAAAAAAGGTCGCAAAATGGAGCCAACCTCACTTAACAACAGAAATTTTGGGCTCCGTTGTGGTCGTACATACAGGCAGTCCTCGATGTACGACCACAACGGAGCCCAAAATTGTATAATTGTATAATTTCAAGCACAAATGGTTGTCCAGTCTCTTCTTAAAAACCTCCAGTGTTGGAGTACCCACAACTTCTGGATTCAAGTTCACACTCACACACACACACACACACACACACACACTGGCTAGGCCACCGGTGTCGGCCCCCTCCGCTGTGGCTCCCTATTCTCCACCTCCCGAGTCCTACCTGATTGGCTGGGTCTCCTTGGGTTGCCCTGAAAAAAGGAGAACAGAGCTGGAAAGCAGGTTAGTGGGGTGGGGAAGGAACGGGGATTTCGCAGTAACCTTCCCCTGCCACGCCCGCCATGCCACACCCACAGAACCGGCAGTAAAGACATTTTTGAATCCCACCGCCTGGTCCAAATGGCTCTTGGGAGTGTTTAAGGTTGCAAGACCCCTAGGGAATTCTGGGAGTTGAAGTCCACCCGTCTTTTAAAATGGCCCCCGGGGTTGAGAAAAACCAGGATAATTGCAATCCATCCTTTCAAAGACTCGCCAGACCCTCACCACAGCATTTCCCTCACCGTGGCATCCCAGAGGAGAAAGGAAGGGCAGGAGAGGTTTACAGGACCACCCAACCCAGAATCCAACCTTCTACTTTGTACAGTATTTATATTTTGCGTGCGTATTTTTTTTCTTTTTTAAATGCCAACCGTTCACTGTTTGCAGAAAGGGGAACGAAGAGGCGTGGAAAGGTTATCAGCACTTAATTTGCAGGTGGCTTTTTTTTTTTTTTAAGAATATCAAGGACCCCCCCCCCCCCCAAAAGAAAAAAATGGGGCCCCCCCCCCTCCTCCTCCAAGAACTGTTGTGTTTGTTATCCGCTGCCGCCCCAGAAAATGGGGAGAGAAGCAAGACTGCGAACGAAGCGGCAACGAAAACCTAAAATGCAATTGAGGGTCTGTGCGATCACCGCTGTTTTGGGCCTTGGAGGTGGTTAGGGAAAGCCACAAAAATATAAGGTTACTGGAGCATTAAGGAGGATTTTAATCTCTATCCGGCGTTCCTTCAATTCGATGAGAACTTCACCCGTCCGATGCAGACCAACTCGTATATAAATTGTGCCGAATCCGGAATAGAGAATGTGAGACAAGGCAGATCCCCAAAAGGCACAAGTGCTTAGTTAGTAGACAGTCTGTTAGGATATCATGATCGGTAGAAGTCAAAGCAACTTGGAGACTAGTAACTTAATCTTAAGGGGTCCCTGGTGCTCTCTGAGCTGGGTTGTTTTCTTGCAGACGTTTCATGACCCGACTAAGTAACACCATCAGGGCTAGAAAGGAGTGGGTTTTGCAGAGTTGAGGAGAAGGAAAAGGAGAGGAGGAGGAGGAAAAGGAAAAAGAAGACTGTTGGGCTCCTTGGTGCGCTCTGAGCTGCGCTGTTTCCTTGCAGACGTTTCATGACCCAACTAGGTAACATCATCAGCATTAGAAGGGAGTGGGGAGAACGTACCCCAAAGTCTTCTATCACCAGTGATGTTTCTTAGTTGGGTCAGGCAAGAAAACAGCCAAGCTCAGAGATCACCCCATAGTCCTCCTCCTCCACAAACCTTACCTCCTTCTAGCCCATAGTTCTCCTCCTCCTGCTCCTAGCACTGATGATGTTACCTAGCTGGGTCATGAAATGTCTGTAAGAAAGCCACCAAACTCCGAGAGCAACAAAGATCTTGACAGCTCTCTTTCCCCTTTTCTATCATCGGTCATCGTCCTCTTCTTCCTTCTCCTCCCTTTTTCCTCCACAAACCCCATTCCTTCTTAGCACTGATGACGTTACCTACTTGGGTCATGAAACGTCCGCAAGAAAACCAAGCTCGGTGAGCAACCAAGAACCCCACAGTTGGAGTTGCAAACATTCTCCGCTTATTGGTAGCCGTTTTAAGGATTCGAAGCTTACAAGTTTAAACTTAAAAGGATTTGAAACAGGGAAGTTATTTGGACCCCCATATCGTGCACTCGCTTTTAAGCAAAAGAGAGAGTTTCGTATTAAGAGGTTTTCTGTTATCCCTTCTCCATATTTGAGCACTTAAAATCACGCTGTCCAATGATGGAGCTTCCTAATTCACCGAAACTCAAAACTTTGGAACTATAATATAAACTAAAATGTAATTTTACCCAGTCGGTTTTGAAACGGGACCGTAGCTTGTTCTTCGCACTGCTCTGTTATTAAATAAAGGGGGCAAAAAAGTCAAGATGGCCACCACTGTTGACGCCACCATCTCAGCTGTTTTGATGCTCCGATGGACTATACATCATTTTTCTCCCTCCCTCAACGTCACCCCTGGCCAAAGAGATTGTGGACATCAGGTCGTCCCCAACTTACAACCGTTCGCATTCGTGTCCATTCCAAGCAACCACGGCATCAAAGAAAAGTGACTTAACGATTTTTTGCACAGCCGTCTGCAGCAACCTCGCAGTCACACAATCAAAATTCACACGCTTGGCCACCGATTCCTCTTTATGACGGCCCAGGGGGTCACATGATCCCCTTTTGCGACCTTCTGACACGCCCATGGGGAAACCAGATTCACTTAACGACCATGTTCCTAACTTAACAACTGCGGTGATTTTTTTTTTTTTAACTGTGGCAAGAAATGGGGCAAAACTCATTTGAACAGGAGAAATTTGAGGCTCAATTGTGGTCGTAAGTGGAGGACTACCTGTAGTAACCCCGAATCACTCTAGTTTGCTGAAGGTAACAATTAAGAGAGTGGGCCTATCCAGACTTATCTAGACTTATCCTGTCATTTTCAGTTCTTTTTTTAAAAAACGGTCTCTCACCTGGCTTCTATTTCCCCCCCACATACACACACAAGCCGTCCTTGGAGGCCGTCCAAAACAGTCTCTCCAAATTATAATTGTCTCCCCGGGGTGGAAATGAGAGAAATTATAACAGGTGAGAGGAGACCTTGTACCCCCTATATTTAGGTTAGCGTTTGAAACCAATTTAGAGATTCTGTTTTTCCCGGCCTTGGGTTCTTTGTTTTTGTCTACAGTTCGATTAAGCGTGGAGAAGCCTTTTAAAAACACCTGAACGGCGGAATTTTTGGCTCTTAAAAAGTGAGCCAAGAAATAAGTTTCCTAACTCTCTGGAAGTTTGATCGTTTCTCCACGTTGGCCACTTTGAAGATGCGTGGATTTCAACACCCAGAGTTCCTCTGGAATTTTAATAATTTCTGCATTTTGGCAACCTTGAAGATGCGTCGACTTCCAACTCCCAAGAGTTCCCCTGCAAATTTCATAATTTCTCCACTTTGGTGCTGGAATTTCCCTGGAATCTCATGATTTTCTTCATGTTGGGGATGGAAGATGGTTGCAGTTCAACTCCCTGGAAATTCATAGTTTTTCCACTTTGGCCATTTTAAGAAATGCGGATTTCAACTCCCGGATTTCCCTGGAATCTCATATAAGTTCTCCACTTTGGTGCTAGAAGAGATGTGGATTTTAAGTTCCAGAATTGCCCTGGAAATTAGTAATTTCTCCACCTTGGCCATCTGAAAATTGGGCTTCAACGCCCAGAATTCCTCTGAAATTGAGTCATTTCTGCATTTTGGCCACCTTGAAGATGCATAGACTTCAACTCCCAGAGTTCCCCTGCAAATTTCATAATTTCTCCATTTTAGTGCTGGGAGAGATGTGGATTTCACTTCCCAGAATTCCCCTGGAATCTCGTGGTTTCTTCATGTTGGGGATGAAAGACAGTTGGAATTCAACTCCCTGGTAAATGCTTCGTTTTACCACTTTGGCCATTTTAAGAAATGTGGATTTTTTAAACTCCCAGATTTCTTTGGAACAGAGGTCTCCAAACTTAGCATCCTTAAGACTTGTGGACTTCCAACTCCCAGAATTCTCCAGCCAGAGAATTCTGGGAGTTGAAGTCCACAAGTCTTAAAAGTTGTCAAATTTGGGGACCCCTGCCTTAGAATCTCCAAAATTTCTCCACTTCGGTGCTAGAAGAGATGTGGATTTCAAGTTCCAGAATTCCTCCGGAAATTCATAATTTCT